TTGCCCAGGATCTCACCAAAGTCTCTGTCACGGCCAGGAATACAATCCAGGTTGCATGCATCTCAGCCCTGTGCTTTGTTCAAGAGACCAGCCTACCTTTCTATCGACTGCTCAGACACTCATTATATTAACCTGGGAGAGGATTTGCAGGGTTATGAGAAGTCATTGAAACCACTGTGATTTTTCTAGCTGGCTTGGAAAAAAAGGAAGGGTTTTATGAGGGATTTGCGGGTGAATTATAGCAATGTCACTGTCCCTTGATTGCTTTGGAAGTGCAGTGAGGAAAAAAAAAAAACAAGAAAAGAACTTTCTCTGCTGTTTCATTTTCACTCATGTGAATCTTTCCTAGCAGGAGCAAGGTGAGGTTTTCAGAAAATGGTTATTGTGATCTCTTGCAAATGTCAAGTGTCTGCTCAGGGGATATGGAGAACAAAATTGGCACAAATAATTAGTGGCTGGTATAGAGATATGGCAAGAGGTGCTGCAAACGAGCTCCTCGCAGAGAGACCTTGGCATAATTTACTGTAATGCAATACGGCCCCGGGTAACTTTGTGAATGTGATTGCTCACGCCGTGCAGTTGGTTAGGAGGGAGATGGCACGTGGGAAATGTGAAGAGACCGTTCAGATTCTGGTGTAGTGCTGTGTGTGGCAGGGCGTGTGTGTGTGTCGGGGGGGGCAGGGTGTGTGCGTGTGTGTGCTCATTTCTCAGGCTCAGTCATTAACACAACAGGGATGTCTTGATCAAGCAGCACAGTTGTTGATACAATTAATGAAAGCCGAAATGTCAGCTCTCAGGATCTTTGGCCAATGCGATACAAGACAAAATGCAGGTTTCATCCACTGCCCATGGATTTTTATTTGCTGCAAGTGCTGCTGTCCTTCATTTGTTTTATCTGTTGCAGATGTAGGAACTGATTTATTTAGATCTGTTTAGATTCTGGTGGAAGTGTAATCTGTCTTTCATCGTGAAGATAATTTAAGCAAATGCACCATCCACAGGACTATGACAGGAGGACAAAAAATGAAAAAACTCTGCTGTGCCAGGTATACTTGGGTCCAACAAACATGGCCTCTACTACCTGCCATCATTGAAACTCTGTTTTCCTCTGCTTACCTCTAAGAAAAATGAAAAGAGTTTGCTGTGCTGGGTATACTTTGGTCCTAAGTACAGGCATACCTCGTTTTATTGTGCTTTGCTTTATTGTGCTTCACAGATATTGCGTTTTTTACAAATTGAAGGTGCTGTGAACATTGTTGAAATGACAACAAAGGATTTAGAATATTACATAAACTTAGCTGATGAAGCAGCAGCAGG